TTTTAGAGCAACTTTATTTTTTGAGGAGCATTTGCTCAACCCTTATAGTGGATGTTATTGAGATATTTTTCTGTGAATTTACCTCTGATGTAGACTCAATTGTTTTGCTAAGCGTCTTGAATATGTTTCTTTTACCCCATCATAACCGTGGCTTTGCTTATCAAACACTCTTTTCATTTGTTATGCTGTGGGTATGTGCTAATCATGCAATGAAGTTTGTTTTCTATGGTGGTTAATGATCTTACTTCTGATGCAGTCCTTGGAGTCAGAGATTACACGTCTCAGTCATCTCCGTGATCGAGCTAGTGATATGGGACACAGAAAGGAATATCCTTTGCTTGTGAAATTTTATTGGCAATTTTATCATTTTGACATTTTTCTGTTTTTTGCAGTCATTGACATTTTATGTCCTGTTTTACATTCTGAACACATGATGGAAGTTGTGAGTGTTCTCTGACTTCTGTAGCCTCATTCTGGATGCCACAATAGCTGTTGAGTGGGTAATCTAATTACATTTGTGATCCGGCTCAACAATCCTTAAGTCTTGCAAGCTGGTTGAGATAAAGGTGCTGCATGATATAAACTCTTAAATGCAAACTGAAAATGGGAAGTTTACACAATGTGATAATCTTCTCTATTTTCAGTGTCACGATACTTTACCCACGAGCTGCAATTCATTATACTTTTCTCTTTGGTTGGGTTGTGGGATTAAAATGTTTCTCACTTCAAATAAACAATATGTAAATGGACATCATGCTCAACCCTTTTGGCCTTGCCACTCCCCTTTCTTTCAAGGAAGAATCTGGTGATGATGTAAACAACAATTGCCATCTGCTGGATTTGTCCCTTTTCTCTTTTCAGTGTATTTCTTGAAGAAAGGAGATTGTGTGAGCTCTATTCATATGATAGTGACTAGTAGGTTTGTTAAGAACTTCTATACGTGGTTGTTTTGTTGACAAAACCTGTAACGGTTTTGAATATTGCTCTAGATGCATAACATGTTATCAGTCCCTTTATCAACATCCTTGTGCAAAATATGCATTCATTTGCATGGAGCAAGCAAGCATTTAAGATGTACTTATAATTATATACAAATTGCTATTGATGATCTGATATGAAGTTTAAATGTTGTTTTGTGGTAACTTATCCAGTTAAATAGCCCCTCTCTAAAGCAGGCTGTCCTATTTCAATCTAGGATTTGATATAAGCATCCTCATCCATGGAAAAGAAGAGAAATCTGATCAAGTAGAAGACCAGAACACCTTTCTTTATTCTATTATATCATGATCATTGGATTTTTTCTATAGAAAATGGTTGCATTCCTTTGGATAGTTAAGTAGTCCTTGACTTCTGTTCACGCTTAGAGAATGCGTGGAGAAGTTGCAGCTTCTAAAAACACCTGAAGAGCGGCAGCGTAGATTGGAAGAAATTCCAGAAATACATGCAGACCCAAATATGGATCCAAGTCATGAATCTGATGAAGATGAAGGCGAGACAGAAGATAAGAGACAAGGTCCTTTCTCTTTTTCTTGTGCATTTCAAACCTAATCTTCCAACTTATACTGACTATATTTACATCTTTTATTATTTCTTATTTATGAAATACATTTTGGTGTTGCAGAGAACTCTCTCAGACCTAGAGGTAGTGGCTTTAGCAGGAAAGGGAGGGAGCCAATTTCCCCCCGAAAAGGAGGTTTTACTTCAAATGATACCTGGGGTGGATCAAAAAGTTATTCAACCACTAATCGGGAGCTAAGCAGAAACTTGTCTGATAAAGGTTTCTCAAGCAAAGGGGATGACATTGGTGGTGGTGAGTCTCTGAATGAGAATTTCTGGGGTCAAGGAAGAGAAAAACAAACACAGCAGTCCCAGAGTACTAATTCGACGGTAATATCAGAATCTGTTCCTGGGATTGCCCTAGAGATTTCACCTTCAACTCCATCTACAGTGGTCACACAATCTGCTGCCAAAGTGAATGAAGCGGAAAAAATATGGCACTATCAGGATCCATCTGGAAAAATTCAAGGACCATTTTCGATGGTGCAGCTGCGGAAATGGAGTACTACTGGATATTTTCCTGTTGATTTGAGGATATGGAGGAATACTGGGACGAAAGATGACTCCATACTTTTGACTGAAGCACTGTCTGGAAATTTCCAGAGAGACCCTCCAGCAGTTGATGATAGTTTCCTGAAGACTCAATTGGTTCAGAGTCCACATCTACCATCATCATTTACAGGGAATATAGCCCAAGCTGCTCTGGTTCCAGTTGAAGTCCCCAAGTACACTACGGACAGGTGGGATTCTGGGACAAACCTCCCTTCTCCAACTCCAGGCCAAACAACCCCAAGTTTGACAAAGGGGCAAGTGTTTGAAAGTCAATGGTCACCAACTCCTGCTCAACCAGTGGGTTCTGCCTTAGGAGCCAGTCAATCCTCGGGAGGCAATGTAGAACTGCAAGGTGCTACTGTTATCTCAGGGACTCCGTCAAAAATGTCTCATGGAGTGAGCCCATTGCCTAAGTTAGAACCATGCGTGCTTTCAATTTCTTCAAATGGTCCTCAAATGCATTCTCAATCAACGTTGCCAGGTGAATCACCCAAGGTACAGGTCAATTCCCATATGCATTCAGTACTTGATCCCAATGGAACTTCAGTTAATGCAACTGTTGATATGAGAAGTCTCCAGAACCTGGTTCAGCCAGGGACTAGTGGTAACTCTCTTGTTGGGACACATGGATGGGGGGCAGGTTCAATTCCAAGGCCAGAAATGTATGCCTCACATGCAGTAACTGGGGCTGGATCTCAAGCATGGGGAAGTACCCAATCCCAGAAGCCAGAGGCAAATAATCTAGTTTCGATGCCCTCACAGCCCAGTGCTTATAGTAACTGGGGCAATGCACAAACCTCTGTCCGGAATCCCTCTTCATCCTTGAACACTGGAAATCCAAGTGGGGTTTCCCCTGTGCCAAGTACTGGCAACAATCCTTGGAGAGCTCCTGTTCCAGGACCATCAAACATTCAACCTTCTGTTCCATCCAGCGGACCATGGGGCATGGGTATTACAGACAACCAAGGTGCTACTCCAAGGCAAGGGCCAGAAAACCAAAATACCAGTTGGGGACCAATTCCAGGAAATCAAAACATGGGTTGGGGAGCATCCTTACCCGCAAATTCAAATCAGGGGTGGGCTGTGCCTGGTCAGGTCCCATCAGCTGGAAATGTGAATCCTGGCTGGGGAGCTCCCGTCCAGGGACAAGCACCTGTAAATGCAAATCCTACTTGGGGTGCTCCTGTTCAGGGACCAGCACCTGGAAATGCATTTTCAGGTTGGGGACCATCTGTTCAGGGGCCAGCACCAACAAATGCAAACACTGGTTGGGCACCACCCAGTCAAGGGCCACCACCTCCTCCGAATGCAAATACAAATTGGTCAGTGCCTCCTGGGAATGCAGGTACATGGGGAAGTGATCCAAATCAAAATGGAGATAGAGATAGGTTTTCGAGCCAAAGGGATAGAGGTTCCCATGGTGGAGATTCTGGTTATGGTGGAGGCAAGCCATGGAATCGGCAGTCATCATTTAACAGAAGCAGGGACTCCCCCAGGCCTCCATTTAAAGGGCAGAGAATCTGCAAATACCATGAACATGGGCATTGCAAAAAAGGAGCTTCATGTGATTATATGCATAATTGAGAGCTTTAGGAATTTTGGGGCAGCATAGATTAGTTAATCCCTGTACAGTTATGTTCTTTGATAGAAGTCTGATGTTATAATAATCATCATCCATTGATGCTTTATACTTCTAAAAACCTCTTGCATCAGCTCGTTCATTACCCGTCTTGGATTTTCGTCTGCGTAGATGCCCGGCTATTCACCTTTTTGTCAACGGTTTATTTGAATAGTCGAGGCAGCTGCTTGGGATCAAGTGTCCCGTTCCCATACAAGGCTAGGAGGACACTTATGATTTGATGCGTTTAGGTTGCTGATCGAGTGACAATTTTTGTTCCCTTTTCTTCTTGTGATTGATAAGAGTTATAATTTATGTCAGCCTTTGTTTAAGTTATGGTTGGCGATGAAATGCCTTGAGATAATTACCTGATTTTTTATTTATGCTATCTCTATCTCAGCAACTGATCTGATCATATCAATTTGTTCACGGGATTGGCGCTATCGAATTACGTGGTAAATCACATGACATGGGGAGCAAATCCACGTAAATGGATGTCCTTGGGTGTGGTGGCGTTGGAGGGTATAGCAGGCATTTTGATGAAAAAATACATATTGGGTACATGGTAGTCATTGTCTATTCATTTATTAAGTTTTCCGCAATTTATCCTTCTTCTTTTTTTTTTTTCTAAAGCCGGTTTATTTTTGTATTTTAAAAATATATTAAAAACTGATTTTTTAATTTTTTATTTCATATTAATTTTTTATTTTTTATTTTCAAATCATTGATTTATTTTTTAAAACAATATTTTAAAAAATAATCATTAATATATTTTCAAACACAACCTTCACCGCTTCGATGCACCACCATCATTTCCACACACATTTAGCTAATCTGGGTTCCAAAATAAGGCCTTCTTTCCACGTTCAAATTATTTCCTTCGCCTCTCTTTAGATTGGTAACGACACGAACAAAATCTCAACGAAAATATACAAAGGAGAGAGATAAGTAGACTTGAGCATTCCTCGAACGGGAAGAGCACTTGGTAAGAAAGGGAAACCCATAAAAGCATACAAGCGAAGGAAACATTCTCAACAAGCAAGCGAGCAACACTTGAATAAATAAATAAAGCGCTGATGCAAATTCCTCTTTTCTTCCTTTTTCAAGTATTTTTTTTTACTTTAAAAAAGTATTTCTAAAATCTTTTTAATTTTTTATTAAATTAATATTTAATTTGAAATCTTTTATATGCTAATATTAAAAATATATTTTTTTAAAACAACGGATACTACTTTATCCAGTGTAATTACCCCAAATCCCCGCCTCCCTCCTCCCCCTCCCCCTCCGTCCCTCTCTCGAATCTTTCATCCAACTCTCCTTATATCCAAACAAACAAAAATGAACAAACTCTAATTCTTCGCCTTTTTTGACTTTTTTTTTGTCAACAGATTTGAAAAGAAAATTAATGGCTCTTTGTAATCGAGTGGTTAAATCAGGCGTCCATTCTGCGATTCTCTTTCCAAAATCTCGAGCGATTAAAACGTCATCTTCTTCGTCGAACAGATTTGATTACCGCCAGATTTCGCAGCTCGTTAAACCTAGCAATAAACGCGCATTTCTCGTTGATACGTTAGCACTGGTAAAAATATTACTTCAATTTTAGAAGTTTCGAAGTTTAATACGTGGAAAAATAATAACTGATTTTTTGTTGTCTTGAAGGTGAGAGGATTGGAAGCTCAAGGCGTGCCGTCGAAGCAAGCGGAGGCGATAACGGCTGCGATTACTGAAGTGTTGAATGATAGTTTGGAGAATGTGGCTCATTGTTTTGTTTCCAAGGCTGGAATGCAAAAGGTAGTAATTCTTTTCGAGTTTGACTTTTCCTGCGGGCCAAGTGTTTGATATTCTTACTTCTTTTTACTGTGAATTATGATGCGTATTTTAATTTTTGGAATTTTTGTAGAGTGAAATGATTCAGGAATCGAACCTGTCCAAATTTAAATCTGAAGTACACAGTTCTCAGGTACTGTGAATTTCTTCGATTTCTATTGGATATAATGTCCATTTATGTGTTTATTTCCAGGGTTTTCTATCGGTGTATTATTAGGTTTAGGATAATCCTAGTGTTTCAGTTCTTGCATTTATCAAATGTTGGGAGTTTGCGTTCAGGATTATTGTTCAAACAATAGCTTATTGTTTGTTTTCTCCTTTTATGTGTGTAATGTAATATTCTTTAATAGATTCATGGATGTAATTATGTGATCTTGAATAATACCTAATGTAAAGTAGCATGTCGATGTTTACCTTTGACGGTTGGTCAAAGAGATTTCAACAATATTCAGGACATGTAGGATATTACATGTATATTCGGACGTAGTTGTAGGAGCACTTTCTATGAGTTGAGGTTGGAAGAACACACTTTTATCTGAAAAAAATGGTTGTTCTTACAACCAATTTTGATTTTGTTGGAAATAGAATTGATTGTTTAGATCTTTGAGTGATTACTATGGAAGAACTTTTGGAGCCTTTCTGAAGTCTCTAGGATAGTCACTCTATGAGGGAGGAGAGTGTGAGACGTGGCATGTTATAGAGTAAGCAAGTGTTCAAGTGCTATTTTATATGAGCTACTCCATAAGTAGTATCAAATGTTTCAACAAGAGTGTTGATAGCTTATACTGTCAGCTATGCCTCAACATAACAATTTGTTTGTCAAGTTGAATTTTTTTCTCACTCTTAAAGCATTCTACATGATAGCTTTAAGAATTTCTAGTTTTAGTGCTTCATGAGCCTTTTTGTGGTTTGGGATTTCTTTTGCAGAGAGTACAAGTGATGGACTTTTATGTATGTATTCTTGCATCAGTTTTATATAAACTTTGTGCTTCTCAAAGTAATTAGGAGCATAAAATACAATTATTATAGATCACTTAGTAAATCCTTGACACAGGATTTATTAGATGATCTTAGTGCAATTATCCCTGGTGTTTGTTGTGTTGATTATTTATGAAGAATTTTGCATAATGCAGGAGCATCATTTTTCTATGTTGCAACGTGAGATTGAAAAATTACTAGGTGACATTGAGAAAATGCGCAGTGAACTGAGGTCTGTGTTAACAGTTTTCTGCCAGATGCATGATTTTTTTTTTTAAGCTGATGCTCACTGTTTAATATTTTTCTCTCTACAGGCATGAAATCGACAAGGTCACTGCTGGACAGCGTTTGGATTTGAATCTCGAAAGAGGGTAAGGAAAATCGACTTTGTTACTAATCTACCCAACCAGCAATTGAGTCTAAATATGCAGTCCGTGGATTAGTAATGAGAATCCCCAAAGCAAAAAAGTTTCTTACTTGATTCTTTCCTCCATTTTGAACCGCAAGAACCCCAATATGGAGGTTATTTGGTTAGGCTATTTGAATAGGGTCCTTGCTGCTTTGATTGGTAAGACTTTAGTTACATACATGCAACAGATGAGAGAGTAAGATGGAAAACAGATGACCAAATTTTAATATCTTGTTTTTTATCATACAAAATGAAATTAAAAGAACTGTTATAAAACATTATTTAAAACCTGCTAATCCAAGGGTTTTTTTTGCTCTGACATGGATATCCATGTCAGTTCTCATTCCTACTTGTTATCCCTGGATTTGTCACTCTCTAGCTTTACAACTGCTTCATATTGTATGCTTTAACTATGTGCAGGCGCATCCGTGACGAGCTAGCTAATCAAAATACAGAAACCACCAATCTCACAAACAAGCTTGACCGGGTGAGCATATTGATTTCAAGTGAAAATAATTTTTGCTTTCTAGCCTTTTGTAATGGCATAGAAACCTGATTCAATTTGAAATATTTGATTTTGTCTACAGGAAATTCATGCATTAAGAGCCCATTTAGAAGCAGCCAAATATGATGTGATTAAATACTGCATAGGTACCCTCGTATCCAGATGTGCAGTTGGAATTGCAACAGTACGTATCTTGTTGTAGTGCTTTGGCAATTCATTGCAAAACTCTTGCAAGATTATAAATTTCCTTTTTTTCATGGAAATTGTCAGCACAACAAAATCAAACAGTATATGAGCATTGTTTGATAGTCATAGTTAGAACAGTTATCGGTTTTCCCATGGGCATCCGCAAGCTTTCATTTCGTGCTACCCTTAGTTTTAATGCCATATAAAATCCGGAAAAAAGATGGCAATTATTGATTGTACTTTAGGAACTCACAGTTGTTTTTTCACATATAAATGGGTTGTGATGCACTCAATTTTATAAAATGGTGTTATTCGTTTGGCGGAAGCACATGGGTGCTGTATAGTTTTCTAGACGTCGGATCATCTGCTTTTATGGGTTGTCTAACATGAAATATCGAAGGATTTTTTATCACAACTTCTTTTGTTAGCCAAAAAGAGGTATTCTCAAGTTAATCTTCACATTAATCGATTTTAAAGGTGCGCTACTTATATCGACCTGTTACATTCAATAAATTCATAACTCAAGTGATCCAAATTTGTAACTAATTGAAAATTCCTTCTTTTTTTTTTCTCATAAGGTGCTAGGTGGCTCTGTTGCTTCAGAGTTAATATATCTATGGGCAAAATAGTATTTGCCTGAACTATATTCCAGTGTTCGTTTGCATGTTCATGTGTGGATCCATCTTTCCTGATCCTTTAGCAGTTTAGCGACAAACGACTTCATGCCAAGATTGGTTTTAGCTGCGATCGTGTATTTGATTAAGTGGGTTTTGATTACTATGGTGTGCCATGTGATTGAAACCACTTTCTGGTATGTTGGTAAAGTTTATCTATATATCTCAAATATCTTGTGTTCTAAACGCAGCATAGTATTACTGGACGGTCACATCAGTCTCTTACTAGATCGACCTTATCTCTTCACCTTCTCCGGACAAAACACCTTTTGCATTCATAATAGCGCAATCACATAATTTCATAATGCGTATTTGATTTTTCTGGCTCTTGGCTAATGGATAAATATTGTTTCCGACTGATCTCAATTTTTAATATATGAATGATTGTTGTTCTACCCTCTTTGTCATCTAATGACACTGGTATGCAGCAATGTGTAGTATAACTATATAAGGCGTGGCCTTTTTACTATTCACTTGAACATTGTTCACCATTTCAGCTGTTATTGTGGTTCGTTTTAATTTTTTTTTTTTTTGTATAACTGAGTTTTTTTAAATTCAAATTAGAGTCCAATTATTTTTTTTAGGTGAGGGTTGAATTGAAAGAAAAACAAACAGTATGTAGCAGCTCAATAACAAAAAAAGCTTCCTTTTTAGGACAAGCGATGATCTAAACTCTTTTATCCTTCGAAGAGATAGATAGCTCCCTTTATTTCCAACTCAATCTAAAAAAACTATAACTGAAGTGAAAAATCAAATAAAGTAGTTGATAGGTCTATAATTGGTTTAGAAAGTTTATTTGTGTCTCTTATTTTTTAAGCTATTTGTTTAATTGGTCCTTATAATTACTAAACAATAAATTTTAGTATCAAACTTTATTTTTTCAGTCTTTTTCTTGGTGGTGGAGAGAGGAGAATGCTAGATTCCAGCTTAAAGAGAGAAAATTAGCATTAGAGAAGAGAGAAAATTGGCATTGGAGAAGAATTAGACCATTAAAACGATTGATTTTTGTGTTAAATGATTTCATATGATGAGAGAGATTATGATTATGTGTTTTTTTACCTTGAAAACACTTACAAAAAATATCTAAGCTTCGGAAATTTTTTACTTTCTAGTTGATTTCAAGTTTTGGATTGATTTTTTGTATCTTTTGAAACTATAGTTTAGTTTAACAAGGTTTCGAGTGTTTCCTAGTTTTTTTTACGTCAAAATGGATTGAAAACGAGTTTTTGAATTAAAAAAACAAATAACCTTATTTTTCTAGCCATACCAGCAACTGGATTCTAGGATTTTTAGATAACATATTATTTTTTAAAAAAAAAATTAGGGTGGATGATGCGTTGTCGGCCTCATTAAACTTAAAAATAAATAAAGACCCTTACACAAGCCTTTTCTTGATTAGGTCAAATGTTGGGCCTTGCTTATTAAGCCCAGCAGTGCCTGGCCTCATTTCTTTTTTATATTAATGGTTTTTTATATTTTTTTAAAATAATTTTTATAGGTTTTAAATTTTAATTAATATCCTTTCTTATGTGATTTTTTTTATATATCTTTTTTTTAATAACATTATTTTTTTAATTATATTGGGTGTGTTTAGTTTTTTTAAAAGTTAGTATGATTTATCTATAATTGTTTTGTATATTTTATATAGATTAAATTGTTTTTGATGTTTTTTATATGTGCAACCTTACATAGTATTTTTTTTTACTTTTATTTTGTTCCATAAATTTTATATATATATCAATTTTTATTACAAATTAATTTTCATAAACAAATTCATTAGACACAACCTGGTTAATGACCCGTATTATAGCATTAAATATCTTTCCCATTAGACACAACCTGGTTAATGACCCGTATTATAGCATTAAATATCTATCCCTACATTGATATCGTAATTTTTTCAATTATGTTTTTATTTATTGTTGATTACCTTTTTTTATTTATTTATATAAATGATTAGTGATTTATTTAATTTGATATGTGCATAAGTTTTTTAATTTATATTTATGATTTTTTAGATAAAAAACTGCATCGAAAAATTTAACATGGTCAAGTTTATTTGATCATGTGTTGGTGTTTTAATTTGATACTTATTCTAATGATTTTTTTTCCTTAGCTGTTTTATAAAAGTTTTGTTTTTTTGATTTCACCATTCAATCTAAGTTGAGAGTGTATTATTTTTTTTCCTGTTTTTATGTTTTCTAGTTTCTTCTTGTTGCTCTTTTTTTTCCAATATAATTCAAATATAATTAATTTATCTAGTTGGTTACAACTAAAATTCACTTTTAATGCTGAAATATTTAACTATAAAGATAATACGGACTCGCAACATAATGTGAATACCAATAACCAGTAATTAGCCTATCACAAGTGTTAAAATGTATTTAGTATTGTGGTAATTTTTATGGTTATGATTTGAAAAAAATTATTTTATAAAAAGCACTCTTGGTTGAGGTTGATTTAATATTTATATATATGTTTAGTTAAAACTATAGTTGAAATTGAGGTTGAACAAAAAGTAGTTTAATGTGTTTAGTTAATAATACTTTTCAAATTGATATTATAAAATAACTAAAAAAGATATATATTGATATTGATTGTTTTTAATTTAAATATTATAAATTTAACTACTGTTATTACATTATAAAATAAATAATACTTTATATAAATTTATCCGACAAGGGCTATAGTTTCCATGATTTTTAGAGTGTTTAACAAAATTAAACAAAATATCATCAGAAATAAAATTAGGATTACGATAATTTGGTTTTTTGAATAAAATTAAATACTAGTTTTTAAATAAAATACAATTAAAAATTAAAAAATTTATTTTTTTACTAGGTTAGGTTAGATCTGGTCCAATATATTTAAGTTTAGATTGGAGTCAGTGAATTCAGCTAAACTATACAAAGCAAACTAATTAACTCTATATATACGGCAATGAGGAGTAAGCGGTGTGGAACTTAAGCAATGAAAAACAACAATTTTTCGCTTTAGCAAAATTGATAGTATGACCTTAATTTTTAGTGGGACTCATCTCTAAATTGAAATTCAAATTTTTAACTAAATGGTTATAAATTGTAACTTGAACAAAATACATTCTAATTATAGTACCAAACAAATTCTTATAAGTGTGACCTTTACAAGTGATGGGCATGTCTGTGCAAGATTTTTTTTATTGGGTTTTCATGGTATATCTATTTGAACCTTAAAGCAATGCAGAATTGAGAGTAGGGCTTATGGGCTTGTGGAATTTTGATAGTGATGATGGTGGATTAGTCGAAGCGAAAAAAAGTAATTAGATTATATTAAAAGGAATTTAGTGTGAGAATTAAAAAAAAAAAAACAAGAAGGAAAAGGACAAGCGGATTATACCCAGAAAAAAAGTAATTAGATTATGTTTTCTTTTTAAAAAAAAAACCGAAAGAGGTTGAGAAAATACTGTGTACATAGACACGTATTTTTTTTCACTAGATAGAGTAATTATTTTTTTGACCTTCCAACAGAAAACAAATTGTTGACTCCGGTAAATTGGTAGTTTTAAAAGGATTTAACAGTTCTTATTTAATTATTTGAGATAATTTATTCACAATATAAATACTATATCATGCTTGAAAGTAAAATTTGTTTAAGGGTTTAATAAAGTTAATTTGGTTTTTTAAATTTTTTCAGGAATGGTGTAAAGAATTTCATACCCTTAAAAGCAAAAATAAAATAAACTAGTGTTTGAATATTTTTAATGTTGGGTTTTTTTGTAATAAAAAAATTAACCATGTCAACATGACCTTTTAACATATTTTTGAACAATATAAATACATGCATACCTTTTTAAAAAAAAAATCTTGCAATTGAGCTTTTTAGATTAGCTTTTCTATAATTAACATATTTTGTTAGAGGTAAATTAATATTTTTAATATTAATTTTTAAAATATTCTTAGTATTTATAACACACACTAGCATACAGGCTATTACATGCTTTTCAAGTGACGCATACGACATTATTCATTATCCAAACACCATCTTTTAGGATGGTTTTAGAAACATTTTATCATGATTTTTTTAACAGTGCCACACATGTGGTGATTGGATCAATGGTTGAGCTATGATGAACTTTTCAGCCGGTTCACAACATGGTACGCCACTGTCTACTCTTTAGTTAGAGCATCTCCAACAAGAGAGCTAAAAGAATAACCAATTGCAAAAAACGTGTACTTTTAGCTTTTGCTTTTGCATTTCTTCACTCCAACGCCACAGGCAAACAAATAGTTATTTTAGCTATTTGTCCTGTAAATAGCCATTTCTATATTTTCTTGTAAAAATAGCAAAAACAACTGACTATTGGCCAATGAGTATTTTTATAGTCATTGGCCAATAGTTTATTTTTTTTCCCTTTAAAAGCAGGAGGAAAGAACTTGTAAATTTAGCAAATTTTGTATTGTGCCTCACCCTTCTCTCAAATTTTAAAAAATAAAAATCAATTATCTCCAGTTAATTAATAACATCGGTTGTGTTAATTAGCTGAAATTAAAAGGTGTTTAAAAGCTTTTTCTATTTTTTTATATCTTTTAAT